CTGCATGCAATATTAATGATATTGTTTGATAATTTCCACACTCTGTGGCATCACCTTTCTTTGGAATGGGTATAAATATGGATCTCCTCCAGTCAGTTTGCCAGGTAGCTATCTTCCAAATCTCTTGGAATAGCCGAGTGAGTGCCTCCTGCATGGCATCCATTTGTTGAAACATCTCCATGGGTATTCCATAAATTCCTGGAGCCTTGTTCTTCACCAATTCCTTCAGTGCAGCTTCGACTTCTTCCTTCAGTACAAGTGATTCTTGATCATAAGTCACCTCCTGAAATGGATGAACATTGACCAATTCTGTTTGGTACAGTGTCTCTGTGTATTCCTTCCTTCTTCTTTTAATGTTTCCTGCCTCATTCAATATTTTGCTCATAGAATCTTTCAATATTGCAACTTGAGGCTTAATTCTTTTCCTCAAATTTTTCAGCTTGAGAAATGCTGAGCATGTTCTTCCCTTTTGGTTTTCTAACTCCAGGTCTTTGCACATTTCATTACAGTAATTGGCTTTGTCCTCTCAAGCAACTCTTTGAAACCTTCTGTTGAGGTCTTTGATCTTGTCATTTCTTCCATTTGCTTTAGCTTCTCTCCATTCAAGGGCATATTTCAATAGCTCTCCTGACATCCATTTTGGCCTTTTCTTCCTTTCCTGTCTTTTTAGTGACCTATTGCTTTCTTCAAGGATGATGTTCTTGATATCATCCCATAATTCATCTTGTTTTTGGTCACTGGTATTCAATGAGGAGCTCTGGTGGTGTAGTGACTAAAGCATTTGACTGCTAACCAGAAGGCTGGCAGTTCAAGGCCATTAGCCACTCGTTGGAAGGAAGATTGTGCAATCTATTTCTGCAGAGATACTGCCTTGGAAACCCAAGGAGGGGCCACTATGAGTTGGAATCAACTTGATGCCAGAAGTTGGTAAAAATCTTTAATTTCCTCATCTTTGCCTTGGTGGTTGGTGGGTAAGTTTGAATAGTAGTAGTATTAACTGGTCTTCTTTTTGTAAGCATATGAATATAATCTTATCACTGATAGCATTGTACTTCAAGATAGATCTTTAAAGATTGTTTGTGATGAGGAATGCCACATCATTCCTCTTCAATTTGTCATTTGTGGCATAGACACAATTGTCTGATTCAAAATGGCCATTTTAGCTCACTCATGCCTAGGATATTGATCTTATGTGTTCCATTTTTGACAACCTCCAATTTTCCTAGTTTCATACTTTGTATATTCCGTGTTCCAATATTAATGGATGTTTATACCTATTTCTTTCCATTTTGAGTTGTGCCCAATCAGCAAATGGAGGTCTCAAAAGCTTTACTCTATCTACATCATTAAGGTCAACTCTCCTTTGAGAACACAGCTCTTCCTCAGTTGTATTTTGAGTGTCTTTCATCCTGAGGAGCTCATCTTCCAGCAATGTATCAGACAAAGTTTCAGGGCTATTCATAAAGTTCTCTACTAATATATCAGACAGTGTTTCACTGCTATTCATAAGGTTTTCACTGGCCAATTCTTTGAGATGTGGATGGCCCTTTCCTTCTTCCAAGTTTTAGTCTGGAAGCCCCGTGGAAACCTGTCTACCAACAGTGACCATGCTGGTATCTGAATTACCAGTGGCATAGTCTCTAGGCTCACAGCTGCTTAAGAGGACAAAGTAAAGTATCAAAATGAAATATGCAAAGACCTAGAGCTGGAAAATCAAAAGGGAAGAATTCCCTGGGCATTTATCAAGCTGAATGAACTGAAGAAAACATTCATGTCTTGAGCTGTGGTAGTGAAGGATTTTATGGGCAAAACACTGAATGACACTGGAAGCACCAAAAGAAGATGGAAGGAATACACAAAGTCACTGAACCAAAAAGAACTGGTCAATATTTGACCATTTCAGGAGGCAGCAAATGATCATGAACCGATGGTAATGAAGGATGAAGTCCAAGCTGCACTGAAGGGATTGGCAAAAAATAAGGCTCCAGGAATTGACAGAATATTCATTGAGATGTTTCAACAAACAAATGCAGCACTGGTGATGCTCACTCTCTTATGCCAAAAAAATTTGGAAGACACCTACCTGGTCAACTGACTTGGAAGAAATCTATATTTACACTCATTACAAAAAAACAGTAATCCAACAGAATATGTATTAATTTTGACTGGATTTTCTTATGTAAATATTTATAATATACTAAATGTAACTATCCAAATTTAAAGTATTTATACAGCAAAAGATAAATGATAAAAGGTAAGTGACAGATTGGAAAATCTGCATAAATCCTAATGCAGAAGCAGGCATTCTTAAAATTCCCTGATATCAAGTAGGAAAAAAAGACTAACAACTTAATACAAAATGGGCCAAGAGAACAAACAGGTCATTGGCAGAATTTGCATTTCTTCACTCATAAGTAAGGTTCAATGTACATAGTACCACAGAGCATGTACCCTAGAGTCTAACTGCCTGGATTTGAATTCTAGCTTTATCAGACACTTGATAACGTATTTCATGCAAGTTAATTCAAGGTTTTTTAATTTCTGCACATGACTCCTCATATCTGCAAAAACTGCAGTAATAATATGTACTTTACAGGCTTCTAATAAGGATTACATATAATAAGCCATGGGAGCTCTGGTGGCATAGTGCCTAAGGCATTTGACTGCCAACCAGAGGCTGGCGGTTCAAACCCACCAGCCACTCCTCAGAAGGAAGACTGGGCAATCTACTTCCGTAGTGATGCAAACACAAACACAACCACTTCCGTGGAGTCAGATCTGACTTACAGTGACCCCTCCTTGGGTTTTTTCCAAGGATGTATCACTACGGAAGTAGACTGCCCAACCTTCCTTCTGAGGAGTGGCTGGTGGGTTTGAACATCTAGCCTTCTGGTTAGCAGTCAAATGCCTCAGGCACTATGCCACCAGAGCTCCCTCTGCAATGATACTGCCTCAGAAACCCAAGGAGGGATCACTATGAGTCAGATCCAACTTGATGCAGTGAGTTTGGTTTGGTTTTGGTTATAATAAGCCATGTGAAGGCAAATTCTGCCAATGACCATTACATGTAACACATGGTAATTATTCAAAAAAGCTATTATACTTTTCTAAAAAACTTTGTATTGTGATTTGACTGAAACTTTACAGATCAAACTAGTTTTCCATTCAACAATTCATACCCTACTATGTTTATTCCTGTAAAGGATTTTGTTAGCTGCTATGTAGTTGATTCATATATACATAAAAACTAGCATGGAATATATTTACATTCAGATTCTAAAATGAGTTTGAGACTACATGACCAAGAATGTAGGCAGTTCATTTCTATTTGATAGTCCAAATCAAAATTTTTGTCTCTGGAATCAGGGAAATACTGTATGAATTTTTTGAAACTCTTTTGACATCACCTCTAGCTTTTTCTCTGTAAAGAAAATACATATGTGAACTAATTATTTGGAATCATTTCATAAAAGGTAGTCATTACTACCCACCAATAAAAATGCATCTAAAAAATGTATCTGCACATTGAATAATCTCTTTTTTAAAATATTGTTATTATTAATCTTTATTGGCCACTTGCATTTTTCCCAACTGCTTCTTCATGTTCTTCACACAATTTTCTATTTTATTAATTGATTTTTGAGAGTTGTTAGTACATTTCTGTTACACATAAAAAAAAAATTACTCCAAAATTTTGCATTTTTACATATTTTGTGGTGTTTTTACTTCAGAGATTAATTTTATGTACCCACATTGGGTAATCTTTTATTTTATGAGCTTCATGTTAAACTAAAAGGGTAGGTCAATGAAAACAGCCAACACATTCAAAGACCTTAAGTATGAAAGATTACATAATAACAATATTTATAATTTATGGAACACTTAATATGTGTATTTAATCATCCCAACATTTCTATGCAATAAGTACCATTATGATCCCCATTTACAGACGATGTAACTGAGGTACCCAGAGATTAGGAAAATTGTCTATGATCATGCATTAAGCGGCTGGGCCAAGATTTGAATCCAAGTCTCTCTATAGCCAGAAACTATTCTGTTAACAGGAGAAATAGATGGGTGAACCACATGATCATACCATCAAAGATTTATGTTTTTCACTGTGAGAAATATTTGAGCTTAGAGGAAAAAAAGTTGGTAAAGCAGGACATCTTTATCATACAGAAGTGTGAGGGATAATTGATAGACAAAAACCCCAGAAGTGAAAAAGGAATACAGAGCAGAGGAGAATGAGTTGTCTTGTAAAAGGCTGAAGAACACCACATCTTCTGAGAATATAAAGATGCAGAAAGCTATGGATACCAGACCAACAAGATTTGCTGCAGACTATTACTATATATTTTGCATCAATTTGTATCAAAAGCATAATAAAAAAAAAGTATGATCATATGACAGACATGTGTTCCATTTATCCCTCTGGATCATCTAAGTTTTTAACCTTTAGGCATGACACTTTGAAAAAGTGAATTTAACAATTACAAGAATGGTAGAAATATTTTAGAATTTCTTTTTGATGCAGTACCGATGAAAAGCTTTTCTTTTTTCTCAAGTAGTTGCTAAGCTTCTTTCTCATAAATAGCACAATTTACAAAATGAACTTTGTGTTCCAGTTTATTGTACCTCTTCAGATCATATTAAAATTTGAGCTCAATTTTAGTAATTGTGTATAGACCTTTTCCTGCATATTCATATCTCAAATTTCCCCTAGTTCTGATCTTCTATTTGTATTTTTCCCCATTTGATTTTCATTTATCTGTTTTTTTCAAACTCACTAGGTGCACTGTAGGAGCTCTGGAAGCTTAGTGCCTAAGGCACTTGACTGCTAACCAGAAGGCTGCCTCGGAAACCCAAGGAGGGGTCATTATGAGTCGGGTCCAACTTGACGGCACATGACGACAACAACAACAACAACAGGTGGATTGTAGTAACCCACTACAACATTGCAAATAAGGGAGGAAATAAATAACTTGCTTAAAACATACAAAAGATCTGGTCATATCCTCTTCTTCCTCGGAAAGGGTAGAGTCCTGAGAATGCCAAACTGAGGAAAGAGAAATAAAAGAGATTTGATTCAGAGCTTCAGACAAACAAGTACAGAAATCTTTAGCATTAGGTGGCCATAAGGCACCCTAAGGATAAATAATCCTTAGAGTCATGAGAAATGTTAACAAACACCAGGCTATCGAGATACTGAGATGCACCTAGATGACTGATTTATCACATAAGAGTCTGATGGGTATATCTGGATGGCAAAGTATAGGGTGCTCAAGGAATCTATTGGCAATATAGTATTCTCTTATGTTCTTCTTATTTTATTCCTAGAAAGTTATCCTAAGTACGTAACAATAAAGGTTAAGTACAATCCTTATAAGGATTAGGAAGTTCTTTAAGATAATATTTTGATGATTAAGAGTTTGGAAAAAAAAACTTTACTAAGAAAATGGTTATAGGCATTATGGAACAGTCATAGAATGAAATGTACTCATGATTTTAATGACATATTAAAATGAATTGATTGATTTTTTTTCTTTTCTTTTTTTTTATTGTGATTTGGGTGAAGATTTACAGAGCAAATTCACTTTCAACACAGCAGTTCATATATACTTTGTCTCATGTCATTGACCACAGTTTACCACAATGCAACAGCTCCCCTCCCAATTCCTCCCCATACTTACCTCTCCCAGTGTCCATCCCTCCATACACTCCTGCCCCAAGCTGTCTCCCTGTGTATAAGCAGCCCTTCTTTCTCCCATGATTGTTCTCTCCAAGGAGTGTACCTACTTGAGGTAAATGTTTAACTCATATGCCTGTATTTTGTTTGGCTGAAAACCACAGGTGTGGGTTCAATTCCAGACCTGAAGGGCAGGTAGGGGCCATAGTCTCAGTGGTTCCACCAGGCTCTATCGGACCAGCAAACCTG